CTGCTGCACTCTGAAGTAGCCTCAGTGGCAGGAGAAGAGCAGTGTGTAATTTGCTGAGCAGCTAATAATGTACAACCCAAGGGTCTGGCCCCAAGGGCAAGGAGCCACTGATCCTGACTTCAAACAGTGTCCTCTGCAGCAACCCTGGTGCTGAGGAGTGATTAAGGGTGGGAACAGAACCAAAAGGCTCCAGCTCTTTCTTCCACACTCAAAAGCAGCGCCACAATGGGCGCAAGGGGTGGATTGGGAGACCTTCCTCAGGTTGGAAATGGCAGCAAGTTCTTTTCCAGGCTTTCCTTAAAGGAAAGGGGAGAATTTTCCAGGTGTTAATTTAAGGGATTGGAGGGGCCGTTAGCACTTTGCAGATGGGAAAAGAAAGTCACTTCTTTCCTTCCCTACAGCCCTGCCAGGGGTGTACAGTTGATCTGACAGCACAGTGAATTTCTTGTCCTGCTGAATTCTGTCATAAAGGCAAAATGATCATCCTCAGGGCCATACAGGTTCCACAATGAAGGGCAAAGGGGAGTTCCAGCTCCCTGTGCTACAACCAAGGATGAGTTTGCCACCAGCAGTGGGTAGTGCTGATTTATTCAAGGAGGAGAGAGAATATCCGCTTTTCTTGGAAAGGATTTTCCATTGGACTTGTATACAGGCTCTGCTTAGCCCAAAGGATGTCCTTGAACCCTCGGGCAGTGAATACCTTGTGCTTTGCCCCCTGGTTCTACTCAAAACAAGGCAGAACTCTGGTGGGCTGGGAAAGGGCTGTGGGTCTGTGCTCAGGGTACCAGAAGGGATGAATCCATCCTTTAACCACCAGAACATGCTTCAGCTTTAGAAATGCTTTTGGAACAGCATTGCTGAAGCAATTATTCTTCCCTTCTTACTTTAAAATCTTTGGCTTTTCCCTTCTTATTTTAAAAACTTTTGGCTTTTAATCATCCCTAAACCCACAATCCCTTGTTTGCCCCTAAACAGATGTACAAAGATATAGACGGGTAGAGTTGTATGAGATGAGCTAAAAATGCAAGGAAAAGGATTTCTTATCCCAAAGGTTTGTCTGCTTTTTCCAATTTTAGCACCCAATCCACAGGAGAAACAGTCCTTTAGTACAAGCCTTATAACCACATGTCATTCAGAAAAGTTTAGCTAAGAATTAAACTAAACATCCAATTTGGCTGCATGTGTAATGAATAAATAAAGCCTTTTCCTTTCATGTGCCCGTGCCAAAGTCAACAAGCTCTATTAGCTGATGAAACAATGCTGACGCCAAATAAAAATACCCCTGACCCATCAATATGGGCTGAGAGCTCGGCCCTGCATCAAAGAGTGCTGTCAGAACAAGAAATACTGTCTTGACACTTCTGGGGGGAGGAAAAACTCCCATTCCTGCACAAGGTGGGTTCCCTGTGCTCTCACTGGGATGTCAAGGAGCAGCAAAACCATCCCATAATGACTGTCTGTTAGGGACACCTCTCTTTATTTCTGCTGGAATAATTTGGAAACCCCTTGAGCTGCAAGGAGCTGGGCTTTGGTGTTTGCTTGCCCCCACTGTGTGTGAATTCCCCACAAAACCTGAGGAATTTTTATCCTGTGTGCAAAACGCTGATGCTTGGAAATGAAACTCCCAAAGGGCCCTGCTCAAAGAAGTGTTTCAGCATCTCAGAGCACCTCAGCACCTGGGAGCAGCCTGCCAGCTGTGCCACCCTCCTCCTCCTCCTGCCCACGAGGGTGGGAAGGTGAAGGAACACGAGATCTCCCCTCTGCCCCATGGGGATGTGCAGCTTGGCCGTTTCCCAGCTGGGCCTGCCCTGCAAACCCCTCTCCTTTGAAATCCACATTCAGTTGCTCTGTGCCGTGCCCTGCCTGTGATCTTTGAAGTCTCACCCCTCCCTCGACACTCTTGGTTTAAAAGATCTGTTCCCTATTAGTTTTCAGTCACACTTTTAGTTTCATTCAGGCTTTTATTTACTTATCCATCTTTCTTCCTGCTCCCACCATTCCCCCTGCCCTGCCAGGAGGCAAAGTACAATTCATTTTTCAGGTGACCCTGCCAGGAAGGCATTGCCACGAATAGGAACAGGTCCAGAAACTGCGGAAAAAGCAAAACCCTTGACTTTAATAAGCAGCAAAACGCTTCCCAATCAGAAGGAAGCAGCCAGATGTGACCAGAATTGTTATAAAACACAAAGGATGGTCCTCCAAATAATTCCTGCCATCTCTTGAAGCCTTCTTGTGCAGAAGTCTTGCGAGCACTGCTGGAGCTGTGGCAGGGCAGTGAGTGATCCTGTGGGTGTGCAGACTGATAGGGAACACTTGCTGTCTGACAAGGTCCTGGCTGTCACCAGGACTCTGCTACTGGCCTGCCCTGCATGGGGACATGGTGCAGCTCATTCCTGTCTGCTCCTGACTGTCACCAGGACCCTGCTCCTGCACGGGGACATGGTGCAGCTCATCCCTGCCTGGCTGCTTTGGTCCTGACTGTCACCAGGACTCTGCTCCTGTCACCAGGACTCTGCTCCTGGCCTGCCCTGCACGGGGGCATGGTGCAGCTCATCCCTGCCTGGCTGCCTTGAGCACGGAGGGGTGTTTGTGTGTCTTTAGTTTTGATTGCAGCTGTCTGAGCAGGGCAGGAGCCCCGCTGGGCTGCGCTTAATTCTGAGTAACGCGAGTTTAGCCGCACGGACAGTCCCCTGCTGTTTTGAAAGACACCTAAGAAAGCAATACAGTCACCGTAAGAACTTCTCTGCTGGAAAGCCAGGCTCCTCTGAGAACCCACCTGTTACAAGGAAATAATTAAAAACCTGAAGAGAAAGGATAGCAGGACACCAAAAGGCACCTGAGCAGGTTGGCACGAGGAGCTGCCCTGGCTTTGTGCGAGCTGCCTGCCCTCCCCTCTGCGGGGCTGTAACGATCCGTGGGCAGAGACATCGATTTCTGCCCAGCACTTCCTTAGTGCAGGGGGAGCAGAACTCGGCTCACATCCTCTGCGGGCTCTGCTCCCTCCCCCTGCACGTCGATAGGTGTCAAGTCACCACCCAGCACCGGCGATGGAAGGGCCATTTCTTGCTGAGCCCACTTTCCGATGGCCAGAAGGGGATGCTCAGCAGTGAGTGGCCACGTGTCATTCTTGGTGACAAGAGGCAGTGAAAATTTACCCTTACCAGTCCTAAGGGTGGGCTGGAGCCTGGATCTCTCCTGCAGCCATCCCCTGCTCTGTGCACTGGGTGCTGGGTGGGCTCCTTGCCCACCTCAGCCTGGCTGCTCCTCCTCTGCTTTGTTTTTATGACTCTTTAATCCTCTGGAGAGAACAGCACTGGTGTGAGATGGGGGAGAAAGGGCCATGAATCCAGTGGTATGTCACAAACCCATCCCAAAAAAAAAAAAAATCTAAAAAACACTTTACAGTTTGTTATTCCTGTTCTCAGCTTGATTTTTCACCAGGGAATTGCTCAGGGACAGTGCTGTGAGTGCTGGTTTCTGTTTTGGGAGGCGAGAGCCGGGCCAGGCAGGGGTGAGGCAGGGACAGGGAGGCAAATCCATGTTTTGCATTTGTGTAGCTCTCATTCACGGCTCTACACGGTGTTTGCAAGTGTTACAGCACATGGCAGGCGTACGCTACAAGGAAATACTGCCGGTGCCCAGAATAGAAAGATTTCAGCTCAGTATTGACTGAATCAAGAGATGCAGGGAGCTGATTGCAGTTTGTGTCTTTTGCTTCCTTGGAGGTCAGTGGAGCTGAAGTCTGGAGCATCCTTAACCAGAGAGGGTTTGCAAAGAGCTGCAGTGAGTGTAGTGGGCAGCAATCTGGTGTTGTCCTTTTAATCCTCCTGCAGTCAGTCACATAAATGGAAATACAGACTGACCCATCAATAGTTACCAGTTTTATTTGCAACCTTGGACTTAATCTTTCTTTTCAAATGATCTTTTAAAAGGAAAAGCTGCTACTTATCTGGAATTAGTGGAAATGTCTTCCCTGGTACTAATGAGAGCCCTTAGGCTGGAGGGAACTGGGTAACTGCTGGCAGCATGTTCTGATGATCATAAATGTTTGGCACCCCTTGGTGCCACAGGATCATTTTTCTCTTGGATTTTCAAGAGCTGCCCTCACTGGCTGGGTCCAGGATGGCAAACTGAGACTTGGGGTAGCACTGGCAATAAAAAATGGGAATCTGCACTGATTTAGAGGGAGAACTCCCATTCTCATTACAATAAAAGAATAATATACTCTTTTAGAAGACACTCCTTGTTCAGGGCTCAGCCCAGTGGAAACCCTGCCAGCATGGGCTGGCTTGGTGTCTGTCCCTTAAATGTGTGCCTGGACCACTCCTGGGGGACCTTTGGGAGGGGGCATTACTGTTTTGCTCTTTGCTTTGACCCCTGAACTCTTTAACAATGTAAAGCCTTGTGAATTATAAATCAAATGTTCCTGCTGAGCTTTGTGGTGCACGGAATGAAATGCAATGATTAATATTTAAGAGAAAATAAGTTAAAGATTTTAACTACAAGGGCAAATGTCTATCCACAGAGCCTTTTCAGAAGAGAGGGAGAACCACATGTTCAGAAGCTTTAGTGAAGTTTGTGGCTGTCAGACCAACCACCAGAGCTGAGGGTGTGCAGGGGCCAAACTCCCCCGCCCTGCCCTTCATGCTGCCTCAAACTGCCCACATCCTAGAAAATCCCAGCAGTGCTGGAGCATCCCTTTGGGATGGGGCTGGCGAGTACACCCCACACTTTAGCAAGTAGAGGAGCTGTGTGCTTTTCCAAAATCCAGACCTCACCCAGGACTTGTTCAGCCCTGCCTGGCTCCTCCTCACCCTCCCTCCAGCATGCCAGCCCCATCCCTGCTGGGCAGGGTGCCCTCTCCGTGTTCTGCACACTGACAGCTCCAGCAGTGCCCACCCTGACCCAGAACATCCTCCCAGTGGCACCTGGGCTGGACACTGCCTCCAGCCACCAGCAGAGCCTGTTCTAAGCCAGCAAATGAGGCAGCAAACACTTACATGGGTGCAGAACCTCTCCGGAGGGTCCCCACAAGTGATTCCTGCCGGGTCCACCCGCACGGTCACGTAATCCTTCATCCGCATGGCCTTGGGCTGGCACGCATAAAACTCCCACGAGGGGCCATCGTCCGTGGTCACCCAGGACTTGCAAATGTCATACTGTGCCATGGCCAGGGGCACGCAGTGCACGAGGAGGGCAGCCAGGTAGAGCATGGCAGCTGCGGCCAGGCGCGGGCGCCCTGGGCGAGGGCAGCGCCGGGAGTCCCGAGGAAGGCGGCGGCTGGGCTAGGGGTGGCTCTCGGGATCAGCATGGAAACTCCTCATCTAAAAATGCTCCACTCCAAGGAGATCCACGCAGGAACAGGGATGATCCCACTCTGCACGCTGGACCTGGATGTGGAAAGTTCCTCTTGGCACGGAAGCCGACTTTGCAATTCACTTGATTGGGAAAGTTTCGGCCAGAGTTGCTGATCAGTGGTCAAAAGTCTTCCTTAACCTCATTTTTCCCCCTTTTATTGTACGAAAGGTCTTCCAAATCAGCATGAAAATATCTAGAGGTGACTCCAGTCAATCAATACAAAGATCAAGTTCTGAGTTGCTGATGAAATTTGATAGGAGTAAATTGGAGAGGCCGTGAGATGGTGCTGGATCAGGTTTTCCTCAACCTTCTGCTCTGCTACAACTGCGTCGCTGTGGAAAATGCCTTAAACTGTGTCTGCCTTAATTATTGGGGGGTTAGAACATTAGCACATAAAATAAATAGAGCATCTGGCCATCAGTACCACTCTGACAAGAGAGACTGCTTGGAGCTTGGAGCTGAAATTCCTTTTTCCCAAAGGATGGTTGTGTCAGCGTGAGCAGGTCGGTGCCCAGACCCGTGGTGGTCCCAGCAGGTGCTGGGTGGTCACTGGGGTGACTGGGGCAGGGCCGGCTTTGGCTTCTCCCGCTGTGTCCTGCGGTGGTGGCGAGGATTCCTGTCCAATTCTGCCTTTTGGCAACGGAGCACCAAGTTCCCAAAGCCTTCAGCTGCAATCCATGGGGCTACCTGGGGTCTCCTCTCTCTTTCATGGTCAGGGCAAAGGCAGAGCTCATCAGCAGGAGGGACCTGCGAGAAATTGGAAGACAGATTAGGTGGGAGCAAGGGGGGACAGTTGAGCATGAAGAACAGGGGTCCCTCAGGAGGCAGAGCACTCAGCTGGGCTGGCCAAGCCACCAGACAGGTTTTTGTAACAGGGAGATATACAACTTTAATAAAAAGCAATCCATAGTAAGATGCTTATGGCTTTTCTGCTGTCTGGGAGAAGGGAAGGAGCGCTGCCCAATTTAAGGTATCTGCTTTGCAACAGCAGCTGGACAGCAGGAGCTCTAATGGGTCTTCAAATAACATCAAGAAGCAGCTATGGGTCATTAGGAGATGGGGAATATGCAGACAGAGAAGGGACAGACAGACAAATTGATAGTCCTAAAAAGATAAGCAAATAAATAAGACAGCTGGGGAGACAGATACATTGTCCAGCATCCCCACATATGATTTATCTGAACAATAACATTTAATAAAAAACAATTTAAAGTCCTAATAACATTTAGGTTCACCTAATACAAAGAGCAATGACCTTCCCAGTATTCATTTCAGGTTAGAACAACATTTCTGCAATTTTGTTGTCTTTCCAGTAGAGCTATAAAAATTGTAAGTAATTACAAAACAAAATGACAAAGAACTGAAGCGGGGAGGGGGAAAAAGTCAAACCCTCTCTCAGTATTAGATTCAGGAGGGAGATCTCGTCCAAGAAGGTGGGAGGCACATATCCAGAACAGAAATTTACCTTTGGATAATTCCCTTTCTACTTCTTTCCCCAACTTTTCTTTCACAACTGAGGCATATCTGCTTCAACAGCATGGTTAGCATTTCCTTTCTCATGAAGCTCAGTTACTAAAGCTCAGAAACTCCAGGTTAACACATGCATTGATCCGTGTTCAGGGGCTTCACACCGCTCTGCTACCATCTCCCTTTCCCCCCTTTTTGCTTGAAAGATTGCTGATTGAGATGAATGAGTTCAGAAAAGAGAAGCTGTCTCTCATGCTTCATTGCCAGCTCTCTACGAAGAGCCTGTTATAGCTGCGTTGGACCTGAATAAACTCCCAGAAAAAGAATAGACTGGCTGCTATTTTTATATTATGAGTAAATGTAGTAAAAATAATAAGGCAGTGTGACACAGTGTTTATAAGTCCTACTTACATCAGAGCTGTCTTTTGAGTTATAACAAGTCAGTTCCTAATTATTACATCAAACTGGTCACTGCCAAGTGCCTGGTAAGAGTGAGAGTGAGAGACTCTGGTATTGTGTAGAAAACAAGCAGGGTAGTTTTAATGAGGACTCCGGTGCTGTTAAGTTTATGGATCTATTTTCACAGCCTCAACAATTATATCTTGCACTTGAATGGCTGTCAGGGAAAAACCCAGGTAGAAAGGATCTATAATATCTATTAGTGTCTTGTTATGCTGCCTAAATGTCACAGATTCCCAGGGAAGTGAAAATTTGCTGGAAAAAAATGTATTTACTGTCAGTTCATCAGCCAGGCAAGGGGTTTGGGGTGAAGTCTGTGGCTCAACACCCACTTAGCCAGTCCAGTCCCTTTGCAGAAATAGTTGGAGTGTTGCTCTGGAATGAGCCAACATACTGCAAATGGGGCAGAGAGGCTCCCCAAATTAAAGCTTTCACCCTGTTTGATTTGGTTTAGTTCTTAGAAAATAAATCTTCACCTGATATTATTAAGAAACTGCAGTTCATGGGAACAAATAGAATCAATGCTCTTTGTTCTCTTTGAAGAGTACTCAGCACTCACTGGGGACTGATAGCCGGAGTATTAAAAACACAAAATTAGATTGTGTCTTGACTTAGCTGGCTCCGGGTTTTTTTCTTATTATTGGATTAACACCCTATTGAAATAAAGGGACAACGCTGAGCAACAACTGAGCTGCTCTCGGATTAAGAGCAGAAAGTAAACTCAATGAAGGAGTTTTTAATTTTCTCTCAGAAGTGTTGCTCTCCCCATGAACTCTCCGCTCTCCCCCCGCGCTCGGGGAGCGGGAGTTGTTCTCTTTCCCTCGCTGCCCATCCCTTCCCCGCAGCCCGGACAGCGAATTTGGGGACACTGGTGGGGGGACAGGAGCCCGAACCCCGCGACAGCGCTGCGCGGCTCCAGCAGAAATCCTGGAAACCCCACTCGCATCCCGCCGCTCTCCCTGATGGATTCGCGGTTCCCGGCAAAGCCCGATGCCGCTCCCGCTCCGCCCCATCCTCCCCCGTTTCTTTTACCCCGAAGGACTTTGGGGGGCTGCCCGGAGCGGGGAGGGGATCGGCGGGGCAGGGGGAGCCGGCGCGCTGGGCTGGGGGAGCCCCCCGGCTTCCCAAACTCCGGAGCGCGGAAATAAACCCCATCCCGCGGCGGGGATGCTCCGGGGAGGGGGACAGAGAGCGGGACACCCCAGGAAAAGAGTGGGAACAACTCGCAGCGTTCGGGAATGGGGCAGAAGCCGGCGCTGCCCGCCCCCCCTTCCGCCCCCGCTCTCCCCCCATGCCCGGCGCTGCGGGTCCTTACCGGGAGCGAGCTCTGCGGCGCGGGGCTCCCGGCGGAGCAGCCAACTTCGGGGCCGGGGGAAGCCCCAGAACATCCCCAGCCCTGCCCTGCCCAGCCCAGCCCTGCCCTGCCCTGCCCTGCCGGCAGCGCTGCGCCGCCGGCCCCCAAGGGCAGATGGCCGGGGGAGCTTTGTGCAATCCCGGCTCCCCTCGCAAGTTAATGCCGAGGCTGAAATCCCTTTTGCTCTCACTTTCAATCACAATCGGAGCTTTTATCTCCGTGCCTGATCCCGGCTGCGTAACTTCCTCTGTGCAGCTTTAGCACACACCATCCCACCGGCGGCAATGGGCTTCTTAAAGGTGCAGGAGGAAATGCAGCGGGGGGGGAGGAGGAGGAGGGAGGGAAAACCACCCGAGGAAGAGGATGCTGCGAGCGGGAGCCTTCAGCCCCGGCGGCCCCGCGGCTCCCGGTGCAGCATCCGCGCCGTCCCGCTGCCCCCGGCTGGATAGCGGCAGCCGGGAATGCCGCTCCTCGGGGCTTCTCTTTTTTTTTTTTTTTTTCCTTTAAGAGCTTAAAAAAAAATTAAAAAAAAAAATTTAAAATCATGAGCTCATGTTTGCTCGAGAGAGAGAAAAAAAAAATCTCCAGTCACGAGGGTTTCCCCACACGTGTAAGTCCTCGCTTGGTGTGCCCTGAATATTTTGGGGAGGCTTCTGCTGGTGGAGATGCTGTAAATGAGGCTGCGTGCGTGTGTGTTGGGGGAAGAGGGGGTGGTTGGAATTAATAGGATAAACAAAGCAGGAAATCGGAGATGGAGAAATCAGATGGCTGGGAAATGCTGGATACTGGTGGGAATGTGCTGTGTGATTTAAATGAGGCAGGTTTTGCTTTGGGAAGGTGGGAGACTGTGAGGTGTGACAGCACCTTCCAGCACGGGGCTGGAGAAGCAGCTGGGGTTGCTTAGGTCAACTCTGTTGTGTCCATGCTGAGGGGCAGAGGAGGTTCCAGCTGTGGAAAAGGTGGATTAAACTGTGGCAGGTAAAGGTCCAAGTTTTCCCTGCACCAGGCATCTGCTGAAGACAGAACTCCTGAGCAGCGACAGGTTTTTGACATGTGGATAAATGACAGCTCATGGAAAAACGACAGTTCATTTATGGGGAGGAAATCCAAAGAATCACCACTGCCTCCTATGTATACAACCACCCAAAAATGACTGCTCCTTCCTAACCAAGAATTCAGTGATTTCTAAGCCAGAAAATGCATTGTCCATCTTACACGTGGTTTGAACCTCGTGCACTCAGTATTTTGTTATATGGTTTCCTTTGACCCATTGCCCTGGGGTTTCTGGGTGGCCTCTCCCATTTAAGAGTCCCTGGAAAACCCACGATGCATCCTCCAACCAGACAGAGGTGATTTAGAGCTGTTCTGGGAAACGTTTCCCATATTCTGGAGCCTAAGTGAGATTTATGAAATGCTGGCATTGTGTCTTGACTGTGGCCCAGCCTAAACGCGACGCTGATGCACAGGGTGGTCTTCACCTTCAAGGATGTCTTTAATTCTGGCTCAATTTCCACTCCAGGACACGGTCTGATACTTTCCACTGGTAACTTCTTCTGTAAACACTTATTTTACAGCAGTAGTATTGCTTAAGTGAGAAGCACTGGCTGGGAATCCGCGGCTGGCTAATATTCCTGGATTTCACTTTGTGCCTTTAGGTCTGCTCTGTAGTAATGACTCCCCTGGAAATTCCCCACGTCTCACTTATTACTTCTTTATTAGTTATTATGGTACAGTAACAGGATAAAACGGAGTTGGTATTTCATTTTCATTCCCTCTAATAGCCACGGCAAAGACCAAGTGGTGTGCTGATTATTGACATCAGAGTTAAGTGATATGCACGCATCATTAGGTTTCAATTGGAAAGAATAACAGCACAGTGTGAGCCGTCACACTTCTAAACTCCGTGGCATTTAAGGAAAAACCAAAGTCGTTTTTCACAGCCCTGCTAGCTCAAAAGATCACAAGCTGGCAATAATACTTGTATAGACACAGGTAAAAGGCGCTAGCTCCAGGCAAAGCACGGGAATTAACCAGTGAGCACAACACCCCAGAGAGGCTGGCAACAGCTGTGGGGCTTGTCCAAGGTTACACCGCGGTTCAGGAGATCCTTGGAGGATGGGAATCACCCAGCTCCTCGCAGGCCCTGATGTGGGAAGGAGAAGGATTGTGTGTGGCACTCACAGCCCCGGCAGCGGCAGCGCTGCTGTCACAGCCTGGAGGCAATGGGGAAGAGTTGGAATAATTGTTTCATTTTAGACCATTTGCATTCTTTTACTCAAGCACGTTTTGCAAATACTTAATGTTGGGTATAGTTTTCCTCTGGATGGAATTTCTGTGGGGAGGAGAAATGGATGTGTTTTTCCTCGAGGGAATATCTCTGCACCTTCCCTCGTGCTGCCTCTTCCCACAAAGAGAGCACAGTTGAAAATCAATGGATCTGCATGGAGATTTAATTACTCCAGCACAGGCAGGGGTGGAGAATAAAGCCCTTAATATTTAATACAGCCTCTGCTCTCAGAGGGATCCCCAGGGCTCAAGGGCCAAATATAAGCCCATTAAAATCAGGTGTAATTCTATTGACATATGTGGGCTCACACCTGTTTATACCAGGGCTATATCTGGCTCCCTAAATGGTGCTTTTGACATGCATGGAAGAAGAGGGAGGGAAGTGTTTTCCCCACTTGGGATGATAGAGGATGCACTGGAACAGCAGAAGGTAAATGTGACACCTGGCAGTCCCCACTGGCCATGGTGATGTGCTCACTAACACCTCAGCTGAGCTGAGCCTGCTGAGAGCAACCCGAGATCACTGCCAGAATAATAACCAGGCTTATAAAGGATATTTCATTTGAGGATACATATTGCTGTAGCCCCTATAACAGCAATACATTCTTTTTATGCTCCTTATCTAGCAGTGTGCGGCCAAGGATGTCAAAGTGCCTCCTGCAAGTGAGTAAGCATTTTATTACGTGGGAACACACGGCTTGGAAATGTGCTCTGAGCCCATCAGCAGGCAAGAGATCCCTTTGTGAGGGGTGATATCTGCCAAGCACAGCTCTACCCAGACCTTGTTCCAGTGGTAGCTTTCTCCAGCCCACCAGGACCTCTGGGGAGAAGTTTGGAAAAGGGAGGAAGTGACTTAAATGTGTTTTTTTGGGGATATTACAGAGGATGGAGGCAAAGGCTGCTTGAACCTCGCACTTCCAGGGGGGATTTGTCTCATCTCACCACCCTTGTGCTGCCCTTTTGTTCTCAGCAAGCTGAAAGTGAAGACAGCTCCCAGCTTGATCAGGATGGGAAGGTCTGCGCTTCCCAGCTCCTCGTGCTGGGTGCAAAGACAAAAATCACAGAGTTTTAGAAGGCAGAGAGGCAGAATATTTTGTAGTTAGAAGAAATGCTGGAAAACCCACACAAAGCCTGAGAAACTGAGCTCTGGCAGGCTGGCAGGGTGGGTGGGGGACATTTATTTCCTTGCCCTCCTGCCCAGGCTGCCCTGCCCTGCTCCGAGGAGCAGGAGAGGCAAGAGCCGAATGCTTCAGTCCCTGGAGTACTCTCCACATTTTTCTTCCTTTGTGAAAGCTTCTGGGGAAATGGCAGAGAGCATCTGCTCTGGGAGGGGAGGCTTCCCCGGCTGCCTCCTCCCACCCTCCCGCACAAGACCTCGGGATGCATTTTCTGCAGCTCAGGCGCTTTCACAGGGCCCTGAGTGAATTTTGCCCTCCCTGATTAGATAACCAAAGGAGCAGTGACTGTACTCTCCAGAGAGAAGATGCTGTCTCTTTCCTGCCAGAAGGACAGCTGGAGGGAGGGTGGGATTTTCAGCATGCAAGCACTTAGCCAGATCAAGGAAAATGGGATGCAAAGCATTTTAGGCTAAGAAAGGTTGTTGTGCAGGGAAACATGAGGCTGCTGTTCTGTTCGGGAGATAACGCTTCTCAAAACGCTCCTGCGTGCCAAGCTGCAAGCCTTGACTACAGCAGGTCATTGCCTCTTTAAGGAAAACAAGCATGACAAGTCAGAAAAAAACCCCCCATCACTGTCTGTGCTGAAAAACTTTGATCATTTAAATATTATTGATGTGCATTAACCCCAGCAGAGATGGGCTGGGTGATGGGAAGTGCTTCACCTTGACACAGGGAAAACATGTTGCTTTCTGCTGCCTTGTCTTTTGTTTCATGTATCAAATAGGAGCCCAGCCAAGTGAATCAGCTCAGGAAGCGTTTCGGATGTGTTTGATTTTTTGGGGAAGGTAGAGCTTTCCTCCTCTTTACCAGCTGTGGGGGTGTAAGCGTGGATAAAAACAGGAGGACTGTTTAAAGGAGGGATCTATAATTAACAGCCCCTCAGAAGGGAAACTTTCCTTTTAACTTACTATTAAAGTGGAAGTGTTTGGAGAATATACAGTTTTGGCTCAGGGGATCTCCTCTGTATCCTTGGCTGAGCCTTGTGAATTCCTCTAATTCCTGCCTGAGAGAGTGTCTGGCTTTAAAAACAACTCCTGCTACCCCTTGGAGGACTCACCTCAGTGCCTGGGTGGATTCCTGTGCCCAAGGAGGGCAGAGGGAGAGGAGCTGTGCTCCCCCAGCATCCCTGAGCCCTGTCCTGGCAGGAGATGCTTTCCACAAAAGCTTTTTCACCTGAGGAAGGAACATGTCACTTCTAATGGAGCTGACAGCAGCAGGGAGGGGCTTTAGATTAGTGGCTGAAGAACACACTTGTAATGAGTGAAGTAATTGAATAAATGCTGACAATTTGATGTGGGAAATGCATAATCAGCTGGCTGTGGAAGGTTGGCGTGTTCTTTTTTTCCTTCTTTCCTTAGCACTGGGATAAACACATTCATTCTCTCCCAAGCAGGTGATGTGTTGAGCAGCAGACCCATGCACATGTCCCCCTCCCAGGCACACATGTGCTGATTCCCTGATAACTGACCCAGTTATTCTAAGATGCTCTTAAGAAATACACATGTAATAAATCTCAACACTTAACTTTGTTCTTGGGTCACCTGCTGGTTGAACACTCCCTTCAGTCATTTTGCTGGC